ACTAGTAGCTAGAAGCTACTAGTAGCTCCTGGCACTACTACTAGGAATAAGAAGCTACTAGTAGCAAAGGGCATTACTAGTAGTAGCTCCTTTCTCCTAATAGCAAGGGCATTACAGTACTACTAGTAACTTCTCTGCTGGCCTTGCTACTAGGAACAAGAAGCTACTAGTAGCAAAGGGCATTACTAGTAGTAGCTCCTCTCTCCTAATGACAAAGGCATTACTACTACTAGCTTCTCTCCTGGCATTACTACTAGGAACAAGAAGCTACTAGTAGCAAAGGGCATTACTACTGGTAGCTAGAAGCTACAATGACGTCACAGGTCAAAGAATTGCTTGCTTCTAGATGTTTCTTGTTTTGACACCTAGCACGTCCGGTCCTAGCACCTAGCCAGCCGGGACCGATGGTTTTGGTTACGCCGTGCTTGGACCAGTGGCCGGCTCTTCGGCACTGTCAACACCGCAACGAAGCTGTTGCAGTTTGATAAAGTTGTTACTGTTGATGGTGGGGCAGGATCATGATCCCCTGGCCAACCCCAAACTCACAGTCGAAACTTGCTTTTTCGACCTAGCTCCATCCGGACAATTTTCAGAAAGGGCTTCAAAGATATGCAGTCATGAGATGCAATGCGGCATGAAGGGATGTGCATCAACAGTTTTGTCTCGTTTTGGAGGTGAGGGTCAGCTTGGTTGCTTCACGTTTCAAAATGGGAAAATCATTGGTGTATCCATGGAGGATCAAGATTGGTCATGTTCATGGAATTCACCCATCTTCATCACAGCATAGTAATAGCCAGGCTGTAGGACACTGTGGGATGCCCAACCTAGTATCGATGGCCTCCAACCTACTAGCGATGGCCTCCAACCTACTAGCGATGGCCTCCAACCTAGTAGCCATGGCCTCCAACCCTAATATTGCGATGGCCTCCACCTTTTGCATGCTTTTTCCAGTTCACCTTCTTGGGACCTGAGGTTGGTGAACATGCGGCGCCTTCAGCAGCGTGGCATGAACGGATGATCCATGATGCAGAAAACTCCAGTGGTCAGGGCGCAACCAATCAAGGCACATCAAAGCTATTTCCAGATATCATATATATATATACACATACACATGACAGCTTGTTTGGGTGAACCCACTCCAGATCGACATGCCCATCTGGCTGACAAACTTGGGGTGGAAATGGCAGTTGACCGGGGCAGGAGGGGCAACAGCAGGCCCAGGCCATCAAGAACTTCGGGTGAATTTCAGAGAGGCGTTGAACAAGAATGAAAAAACAACATAAAAGACAACAACACACAGCTTACACACATGCTGCTTTTGTACAGTGCACGCTTGCAATTTACATGCAACATAGATGGTATCGAAATCTGTCCCGAATCCATCCGAATCCAGTTTTCTTGAAGTCGCAGACATCGAATGGTCTTGAAAGATGTGGTATCCAAGCCACTGGTGTTTTTAAACAACTCGAAAGCTAGGTATCAAAGCCACCAGGATGGAAAAAGCAGCCCTTGAAGCCCTTGTCTCGAAAAGACTCTGGTGTCAAACTTGATTACATCTCGAAGCACCTGGTCAAGAACGCTTCTAATGATAGGCAAAATGACACTGCCCCATGCTCCACCCCCCTTTTGTTGCGAACCTCGATCTCGCACGACAGTTTCAGACCACGAGTGAGCTGTGTGAGTATTCCTGTTACTACTAGTAAGGCACTTGTTACTACTAGCGTGGCACTTGTTACTAGTAGCTTCTAAAGTTAGATCTAGCTTTCATTAGATTCAGTTAGATTCAATTTGTGCTTGCAAGAGGTGTCGTCCATCATCATCAATTTTCCATCATGCGGAGTACGCATGTTCTGAGAAAGACGATTTGAGCAAGACTGGTGGGTGTTTGCTGTCCTTGCTTGGCCTTTGAAAAGAAGCAACCCTTTGCCACTAACAATTTGCAACCCTTTGCCAGCCGAACAGAAGACGGCTTCAGGCAAGGAGAGATTTCGGTCCATGCCTTATGGCTTCATGGGCTGTTCTTGAGTGGCAGTTGAGCAATGCTTTTGAAGGCAATTCAAAGATTTCAACGCCATTGTTGTTGAAGTCACTATTGCCATGGCAAATACAAAAACAATTAAAACACTGATAACCATGAAAGGCCTGATGCCTGCGAAGAATCAACGCGATCCATTCCAGGGATCAAGCAGTTCAACTGTTCAATGTGTTTTCAACCCGAGGCTACTAGATGCTACTAGGTATTGCCCCTTCCAGAGGAGTTGGAGGTTGATGGTCCTCCTACTGAGGCCATCGCATTTTGCTTGGCGATACTGCTGCTATTCTTCGGGTGCCAGCACTTTACAACTCTGTGTGTATGTGTAAACCGACAAGGGGATTACTAACACCAGGGGACTCTCAAAGCCTCTACGTGACCAGAGGTGAACGAAGATGTTCATATTTCTGCAAGAAATTGCCAAACTAAATGTAGTAGTCTGACAGTCCTTGTGATACTTCGGATCAGTGACAGGCAACTCCAACCATTTTCGTCCCAGAAAATCCAGTGTTTGTTTGTTATGCCTCCCACTGTGTCATTGTCATTTTCAAGGTGGCCTGGTCAAAGAAGGCCACTTATAGTACAGAACACAAGCATCCCCGTTTAGTGTGGACCATGCAACGTAGATCCCCAAGTGCATCTTTTGATAAGAAAACTCACAAGGTGTCACAAGGTGCAACAAAGGTTGGGCTCAATGAGCAATGCAATGTGTTGGGATCAGGGGATGGACCCAGAACGCAGAAAGTTGTAAGAGTCCAGAGTCACAGCCTTCCAGGGTTCAGGACTAAAATTCCGGACAAACAGTTGCGTTCCAGGTTTCCAGGCGGACAGCTCTTCTTCCAGGATTCCTAAGTTCCAGGCGAAGGGTTGCTATCACAGCATGCTATTCCCTACCGTTTCCATCTATTTGGGGAAAACAATCAAGGTAGCGCGGACACTGGAACTCAGAAACCGTTAACCTTCCAACAGGGCCTTTTAACGTGCCATTGCCGCACTGGATTTCGTTTGATCCATATTCATTTTGCAAAAGTCGCACAAACTTGCTCATACATTTTGGCAGTTTTCCCGGAGGTCAATGATAATATATGATAATATCTAATATAAACATGTTTCAGGTCTGGCAGGCTTGGGTGAACATGCATTCATTACTGCCATAGGTTTGAACCAACGAATGTTTTGGCTCAAGTGCCTTGGCCAAAATAGCGTTTGTTCTCTCTTTTTTGGGGCGGGACCCTAGAAAGACTAGCTTGGTAGGGAGGAACTCTACACTTGTGGTGGGTCTATCAGGGCGAGACCCTGAACGCCATGGGCGCTCGCGGAATCACCCTTGCCGCCTACACGTGTGCTCAGGTCATGCATGCGGCGGCTTGGTTCGAATTCAAGAACCACCTCGAGGAGCTTGTCCGCGCTGGGAGGGACCTATGCATGGCGGTTGCGGGCTGTGGCAGGCGAAAGTGTTCACCTCGGATACCCGGGGCACCTGTTGTCCATCCGGATGCGGCCGCACCGTGCCGACCCAAGAGGGACTTGGGCGGCGCAAGCGCTACTCCTGGCGACGACCCTGCAAGGCTTACCAAGTCAGTGGCAGAGGTGCGCTGTCCCTACATGCTGGTGCGCTGATGACATGCTGACTCTGCAACCCTGCCACGTCGTGATTGGTTGCGTGTCGCGCTTTATTACCTTACCACTGTGATGGCAACGGGGTGTCAGGGAGCGAGCTCAGACTATGTGGGCGATTGGCATGCATGAATGAACAGTAGTCATGACCATGAAGGAGGTTCCGCCGGGCTGTCTCTACCTGTCCATGATGTTTATGCAACTGCACTCGTGTTTCAAGACCTTACTGGGTACGGGCACCTGTGGAGCTGTTCCTCAATGCGCACAGCTGGCCGCGCAGTGTCACGCCAGAAGCTGGTTCTTGATTTGGGTATCAAGCCGAACGCATAGCTTGGTCGGGTCTGGGCGGGTTCCCTGCGTCTCATCCATGTCGAGCTGTTGCCTCACGAAGGTCTCATGGAGCGCGCGTGTCTTTTTCGAATGACTTGGCACTGTCGATCCGTTGGCGGAGTCCGACGAAGTGAGCGTCCAATACCGAGTTGGTTTGCACTGTTGGTTGATGAGGGGTCTCATGGCGTGCGCAGGGCTCCTTTCTATTTGAAGGTCGACTTGGTTAGCGCTGAACACTTGGCGCTGTTGCTCTATATGAGGGATCCCATGGAGCCAACATCTGTCCATCTACTCGACGTGCTTGGAGTTCTTGCATCTCCTTGCACCATGCGCAATCTCCTGGAGAATTTCCGAAATTCAGTGAACTTTCACATTTTGTAGTCGCTCATTTCCAGTGCCACTGGCTTGGCGAATTGCTTCACGAGGGGTTTCGTGGAGCGTGCGTCATCGTTCCAGCTCGGCTTGGCCGGAGCTGTTGCTTCAGGAGGGGGTCTCCTGGAGCGTGCATCGCATAATTCATTCCACACTGGTTGCACTGTTGCTTCATGAGGGGTCTCATGGAGTGGTAAATTCAACTTGATTAGCTCGGCTGCTTCATGAGAGGGACTCGTGGAGCGAACATCAGTCAAGTTCGACCTCTTTGCGCTGTTGCCTCATGAGGAGGCTCATGGAGCGTGCGCTTTGTAATCAAACACGGTTTTGTTGGCACTGTTGCTTTCTGAGAGGTCTCATGAAGTTTAATCGGACTGGATTAGCTTGTTTCATGAGGGGACTCATGGAGCGAGCGTCATGGTCCCAGTTCGGCTTGGTCGGCGCTGTTGCTTCAGGAGGGGGTCTCGTGAAGCGTGCGTCGTGCGATTCATTCCCACGCTGGTGGCACTGTTGCTTCATGAGGGGTCTCATGGAGTGGTATATTTAACTTGATGATCTCGGCTGCTTCATGAGGGGGCCTCATGGAGCGAGCATCAGTCAAGTTCGTCCTCTTTGCGCTGTTGCCTCATGAGGTGTCTCATGGAGCGTGCGCTCTGTATTTCAACACAGTTTTGTTGGCACTGTTGCTTCATGAGGGGTCTCATGAAGTTTGATTGGACTGGATTCGCTCGGTTGTTTCATGAGGGGACTCATGGAGCGAGCGTCATGGTTCCAGTTCGGCTTGGTCGGCGCTGAAGCTTCAGGAGGGGTCTCATGAAGCGGGCGTCGTGTGATTCATTCCCACACTGGCTGCGCTGTTGCTTCGCGAGGGGTCTCATGGAGTGGTATATTCAACTTGATCAGCTCGGCTGCT